CCCGCCGATCGATAGGACGCTATATTTTTCCTTGATTGACTTGCTTTTTCATTGGATTTTATCGTCTTTTCTTCTGTTTCTTTTTAGTTTTCATGTTAATTAGACTTGATTGATTGAAATGACTCCTCCTATATGAACGACGATCAAATCCGCATTGGAATTGAAAAGAGCGGTCAGCCAATTCAAATAATTAAAGGACTCCCTACCTCACAAATTGCGCGCTCCAATCTTCCATCGCAATCCTGCAATAGGCGGCGGGTGCGGCGTGTGCGACGCCGTGTTAGGGGAGAAGTTCCCGGACCCCACTTATGGTGGGTGGCAGGGCCAGACCCCTCCCATAGAAGACGAGGTTTGCGCCAAAATTTTCAGTTTGGCTCTAGGGCGTTCAAACTTGTTAACAGGCAGGCGGCAGTAAGGGAACACTTATGGTGGGTAGCAATGCCGTACTCCGCTCCCTAGGGACGGGGTTTCCGCGAAATAAATGTCTGACAAGGGAAGGATACTTGGTCGCAGTGTCCATTCCAGGTGAGATGTATACCCCCGTAGATGGTTTCGAGCGCCGATCTCAAGTCTGTGTTCCAAATTGCGAAACGACTGTGGGAACAAAGTTACGGGACCGATGCCTCTCTGTGTTATACCACAATAACGAAAGGATCACCGAGCCGAGCCAAGACGTACCTGTGCAACGGTGGCTTAGCGGATAGTGTGGTGGACTAGTGGGTATGACATCAAGGTTCGATCCATCGATGCATGCACTCGTTTTGCATGAAATGCGCCCTAAACGTTTGCAAAACCTTTTTGGGCTCAATGTTGGGCATTTACAGGGCTCCCTCACAGTTTAGGACTCCGGGGAATAGTAATCCAATAAAAAATTTTTTACCACTACTGGCCGAAAATATGAGCCTCTTTACCCCAACAGTGAAGATGGTGTTTCGAAAATTTTCGGCAGCACCCTGCACACACGGTAGAAGGCGGTCTGATGGCTCATCCCACCAGAGCTCTTTTTGGGAGGAATACGGTCCACACATTCTAGGAATACAGCCAACACCTCCAAAGCGATTTTGCAAGTTAACTGGCATAGTTGAAGAAATACTGTAGAACAATAGTTTATCGCTTTGTGTGCACATATGATTATACTCTTGAGGTGAATGTCCCTTCAAGGGAAGCGTGGTGATGCAGTGGGACATGATACCACTGCTGCCCTCAAAACCTTGAATCCACCTATGAATTGTTTGTTTAGGATAGGCTCCCTATTGGCCTTCATTGTTGATTTGAAGCGGTATTCTGTGAAAATGGCCGTCGTGCAATGGGACTCCTATGATAACTGATCCTTCCGACTTATCTGTTAATTTCCATAGGTAGGCAGATCGGTCCGCTTGTTTTGCACCTGTTGACTGCGACCACATAAGACATCGTAAGTTGCAGTAATAGACTAATTCAAAAGCTCATGCCTTCTTGATTAACAGCACTCTGTCGTGATGATACAAAACGTGTTCCTCTTGATCGAGGAGGTGCGGCTTCTTTTGACTCTCCAACTATAGAAGGCTTTGGACTCTTCTACCAGCGCCATAAAACCGGATCTCATGAGCCAGATCACAAACCGAAAGCTAGATTCATTTTGGAAACCCTATATCGCCGCAAAAGTACGAGGTTTCTTTCGCGAACTTACGGGTCCATCGTCGCTGTCCTCATAAGGCGACCGCAGAGGAACATTGTGATCGCCTTTCGGGCTCGAATTTCTCGCAAAGGATTGCTTGCTTTCAAGCGGGCTTGCTTTCACAGCATCGATAAGTACTGTTCGAAACTTCTTCATTACCGCATCTTTCCAGATGGTGTCTACGTCGTGCTACAAGAACGAAAGCAATCCTTTAAATAAAATAACACCACATTCGCTCAGAAGATTCGCTGGTGACGTGTTTAAGAACGTTTGACCCGATGAACCATTTGGAACCTTTCTTCCTGAAGCCCATTTTAAGCAAACATTTAGAATTCTCTTTTGCTCGAATGGAGTTCCGCCCTTGTTCGACCGGTGAGGGGAAAGAAAAAAACTTCCCCTGTGATGCCTTCCAGTGATCCTAAACTGTGAGGGAGACCTGTAGGTGCTCAACATTGATCCCAAATTTGGCAAGCGTTTAGGGCGCATTTTATGAAAAAGCAAAACGAGCGTGTGCATCAATGGATCGAACCTTGATGTCATACCCACCCGTCCACCACACTATCTGCTTAGCCACCGTTGCACAGGTACGTCTTTGCTCGGCTCGGTGATCCGTACGTTATTGTGGTATAACACAGGGAGGCATTGGTCCCGTAACATTGTTCCCACAGTCGTTTCGCAATTTGGAACACAGACTTGAGATCGGCGCTCGAAACCACCTACGAGGGTATACATCTCATCTTGAATGGCTACAGCGAAAAAGTATCCTTCCCCAGTGAGTGGAAATCCATAACTCCTGATCCTTTGGACATGGAGAGCAAAATCAATAGGAGGCAGGATGGGAGCACTGACAATAGAAAAGGCCTTAGAGAAGAACCTCCACTCACCTTTGTTATTTACGATCTAGCTTTGACTTCTTCATATGTCTCATTCGTCAAGGAGGGTAAGTGGTGTGATTATAAGGAGATGAATTCGGTTCACTTCCTGCTATTAGATTACGACCGCTAGCAAAGTTTCCGATTAAGTGAATGAACACGGATTCTCTTTGTTTTGACAGCATTCTTGGCAAAACTTATCTGACCGCTAATAATATTATATTCACACTCAATGATGTATCCGTAAAGAAAAGGAGCTACATCTTCGAAAACATTTGATAGTCTATACTCTCGCTCAGCGAAACAGCGAAATAACCTAGGAAAAAGGGGAAAGAGTTCCATTAATTCGATGTTATTAGGGCGAAGTACTTTTGCCCCAAGAAGCAGGAGAGCCCGGCGTCAGCTGGGCGATCCGACTGGATTTATATAACGCGCTAATGTCTGTGTGTTTGTGTTTGTGTGTTTGTGTGTAACTGTATGTGTATGTGGGTGAAAGTGTAAGTGTGTGTCCGACCGAAAATTCATAACTCCTGTCTCCTTGGGCCTAAAACGTCCAAATTTGATAAGATCACAGGCGGCAGGATTGAAACACGTATGGAGGATGGCAAGCCCAAACTCCGCTCATAGTTTGCGGGGCTTTAGCGGAAACCTACAACTCCTGTTTCAGGAGCGTCCAAATGTGGTAGGAGTGCGGGCAGGATTGGAACATTTGTGGTGGATGGCGTCCCGTGCCTTGCTTACATTGTGCGGGGTTTGAGTAGAAATTCAAACCTCCAGTTAGTTAGTTGTTCCCGTACACCTAGAGCGCTAAAATTTATCAGAGGTACAGATGGTAGGATTGGCAGGGTAGCAGCACTAATGGTAGGTGGCAGAATTCGACTTTGGGCGTGCGCGAAAATTGGCAGTTCGCACAAGGGAGTTAAATTTGCTAGGAGTAAAGCCGGCAGTATGGGAATGATGATGGCCGGTGGCATGGCTTGGCTCCGCCCAAAGACGCAGGAGGTACGCGAAAATTGCTAATTTTGACCTGGAGCGTCAAATTTGGAACGAATGGAGTGGGCACATTTAAGACACCGATGGTATGTAGTGAAAGGAAATTGAACTGTACCCAGCTTTGAGTGCAAATATGCAGTCAAGTTGGAATAAGAGGGAATGAATCCAACGCACGGAGTGTGTCGGTGTGTGTGTTTCGCTAAAAGTCAGTGGCTTCATTTCTTGGACCAGAGGTTTTAAAGTTGAAAGAGTGCAGGCTGCGGGTCAACCTCGATACAATAAGCAGGTGAGATGGGCGTCAGCCGGGCAATCCGACCTGTAGTTTCTGTGATAGATGCGTCAGGCAACCAAGTGAAGTTGCTCGCCAAAGTAAACGCAAAAACAATGTCCAAAGAGCGGATAATGTTCGAGTAGCAATGCATGTTCAGGAAAGCTAGAACGATACTCTTCTTTTAGCAACTAATGTTCTTAATGCTAGGAATTCAACTAAGGTTCTAACCCAGCACAGAGTCGCTGAAGGCAACAACATGCAAAGGCGTTTAAAGGGTAGTTATATGTAGAGCTCTTTAGCTTAAAGAATTTTTAAGAATAGTTCTTCTGCTCCAACTATCCCGTATTTCTTCGCGAGCGTGTTCTCTTTCGAAAGGAAGCACAGAAATCTCCATTGCAAATCTGACTCTGACTCAGCGACTTCCAGACCTCGGTATTTAATGAGTGTCAGCCGTTCCGACAATGGTCGGATGATTGTTTCATCAGGTTTCACAAGTCTACAAAAATGTTATGCGGTATGCGTGACATAGTAAAACGTGTTGCACTGCATATGTCAAACCGAGTGGGCGTTTTTCTCGATACGATACAACAAAATCGTGGTTCAGGGAGCCTGACAAAAGAACCTGTAGGATTTCTCAGACCTGTGCAGAGTGGACCACAAAATAATCGGTATGCGTGCTCCAAGAATTGAGGGATCGGAAGGTAACAAAGGAGAAGGGTTACCCNCCCTGACTCCTGAAATGCTGTTGACAGTTAAGGAGGATGGCAAAACAGTTGTGTATTGATTATCGAGGTGCGAACAAAATAGCAAAGGGATATTTATTTATTTATTTACCGTGGCTTGGACATCAGCATGATGCAATCTTGATGGGTGGCATGACAGCTTCCTCAAAGGTGTTGCGGCGAGCTGACGAAATCCTGGCGGCTGTCTGGAGCTGACGCATGACACGACA